TATATATTTCTAATAAGTTGGTACTGTTGCATTCTCATTTTTCACCTGGAATTGATTTGTATCTGATAGAATTTAGGAGTCCAGTTTTATGTTTTTCCATACGGATATTCCATTGCAGCAGCCCCATTTATTGAAATGTCAGTTCACACCTTACTGATTTGCTAGGCCAGCCCTGTCATAAGTCAGTTTTTATATATGCAGATGTCTCTTTCTGAACTCTGTATTTTGTTCTCTTGGTCAGTTTTTCCTTAATCTATGCCAACAGAACCTTGTTCTTCAGGGATGTCTTTTTCTTCTTTTTTTTCCTTCAATATCACTACATATTTGACCCCTTTTACTCCATTTTCTCCCACCTCCCCCCTGCCCTCTGGTAACCACTAGTCTATTGTCCATGTTCCTGAGTCTCTGTTTGTTTGTCATGTTTAATTATTGCTTTTAGATTTATATCCTACATATAAGTGATATTATGTGGTTTTCAACTTTTTCAGTCTGGCTTATTTCACTTAGCATGATTATCTCAAGGTCCATCCACATTGTCGCAAATGGCAGTATTTCATCTCTTATTATGGCTGAATAATAGTTCATTGTATATATGTACCATAGCTTCTTTATCCAATCATCTGTCATAGGACACTTCAGTTGCCTTGGGATGTCTTGACTCTTTTTGAGCCCTTTGCTCTTCTAATTGAATTTTATAGCTCAAGTGGGGGAGAAATGACATCTTTAAATATCGATTCTTCCAAATTATGAACATGATAATGTATATATGAGATTTGCTATGTGTTTTTCATTCTCTCAGAATAGTTTTATAATTTTCTCCATATAAACCTTTTATCTCTTGAATTAGATTTATTCCTGGCTTTTTATATTTTTTAAGCTATTGAAAAATGGTATTTTTAAAAATTAATTCCTAATTGCTGCAGTTTATAGGGACACAATTCTTTTTATTCTTGTTTCTGGTCAAAGGAAATACTTTAGCATTTTACCATTAAGTATAATGTTTTTTATAGGCTTCATGTAGCAAGCAAGCCTTTATTGTGTTAATGAAGTCCATTTCCATTCCTAGTTTTATAAGAATTGATATACTTCAGTTTTCTTATCATGAATGGATGTTGGAGTCTATCATGCTGGTAGAAAAGAAATCCTATTTATTTTTTTAAATGAAATTTTATTTTTCTCTTTAGCAAAGAAGTTTGTAATCCTGATATTGGTGGCAAGATCATAATGTGTCCTCAGTGTGATTCTCATTGTCAGTTCTGGAAACTCAATATTACTTGCGAGTCCTCAAAGGTAATTTTTATTATTCCAAACATTTACAATTAATGAAATATTTTTTCTTCTAATAATTTTACTACGATATAGAAATTTTTTTCCCCTCTGAGGAATTCGGAAAGGTAATTTTCAACTAACCATTCATTCTAAAAGGTAGCTATGGGATGCATGGGTTAATTCCTCTTTTACACATAATAAATCAAGATTAAAAGCCTTATCTAAAATCTCCTGAAGGGTCATAGAGGAACTGTGGAATTGAAACTGTTTGAGTATTTCAAGTAATCAAAGCTGAAATCTCAAACTCGACTTATCTCATGAATACTATTTAATAGCTTTGCTATTATAAGTATTTTCCGTAGTTCAAGCAGGTGGAAACCTGAAATTTACACTTGTGTTTTCCCACTTTTAAAGTGTGCTGAAACTATGCTTGGATTTTTAAAGACATTGCTGGTCAGATTTAGACTGTATCTATAAATATGCGTAAGAAAGATTGTGTATATAAATGACAACAGATACCCACTTTGTCTCTCCAAATATTCCCACAAAACACATCTGGTTCCCCTTATACGTGCAGATGGTCTTGAGTTATGACTTCTTAAACTCCAGGAGGTTTAGGACAGGCACTGAGACAAGAGGGAACTTACTGAAAGGCATGCCAGAAACTCCAGACAGGAAGAGGGATGGTCAGCTTGCTTTGGAGAATTTTCCCAACACCTTTGATATATTATCTCACTTGTTGTGATCTTTCCTCTGTCCCTTCATTCTGCCATGAAAGTTTAGGAATCCTTATATGACCTCGGAATATTCTGATTTACTTCGTGTATCTCTTCTTTTAACTTACTATATTGCTATGATAGTGATGTTACTTTATATTTTATACTTTGCAAAGTCTTGTACTTATCACTTTTGACACAATAACCCTGTGAGATGGACAGAATAGATGTTATTTCCATTTTAAAGATTAAAATACAAAAGATCTGAAAGAGTAAATAATGTACTCAAAGTCACCCATCTGGTAACTAAGAAAGCCAAAAATTGACAGAAAATCTGCATTTCTTGCCATTACCGTGTTCCTCACTGCCTGATAGTAGTACCAGACATTTCACTCTCAAATTGAGCTTTGTTTGGAAAATTATTCCATCACTTAATTAAGATGATTGCAGGGTATTGTCAACACATGAATTTTTACACTTAGTTTATGAATTAGAATAGATTTTATTGCCCACCCCCAAACCAATGCATTCTAGACTTACAAATATGTCATGGATAACACAAAGTAAAAGACTTGAAGCTAGTGAGAAAGAAGCTGCCTTCCAATGATGTTAACTCACAAAGGTCACAAGTTAGCACGTATCCCCATACACTGGATTTAAGGCAAATGCCAACAGTAATACCAGAGGCAAGTTGTGCTCCGCAAAGTACAATTGCAAATTCCATTTTCTTTAAGAAATTCTCTTTCAACACCCTACCCCCACCTTTTTTCTCCTTTCTCCTGCTTAAGCACATGACTTTTAAATGTGTCCCTGTGTACATTTTTTTCATTGTTTTGGAAAAAATGAATCATTCTATTCCAGTTTCCTGAAGGATCCCTTGAGCCTTGTCAGAGTGATTTACAAAAGGAAGTATATTTTTTAAATGACTTAAAAGAATGAAATGAAAAAATAAGTTTAAAAAGCAGAAAAAGAGAGCACCTGTTCATGCTTTCATTTTTTCTTTTCTTTTGGAGAGAGATGGAATATTCACTAGCTGACATGTATACTAAAAGGGTTAACAAATTAGAAATATAAAATCAGGATCAAGGAAATGAAGAAACAGTTATGGAAATCAAGATTAATATGTTTTTGTGATTGGGCATTGAATAAGGTTCTTAGCTTTTTGGCTGTCAAGTTAAAGGGGAACATGGTAAGTTATAATATTTTATTTTTAGAAAGACATTGTTATAAAATTTTTATTTTGTTCCTTTGGAAGATGAAAGCATAGCATGGTTATTTTTCTAGATTCTGATTGGTTCCTCTCTTGAAATTGTCATGCCTGCATATGCAGCTCTCTTTTCCTGTTCCATGTGACTAAAGCAGCATGCTGACTTGGGACTACTCTTCACACAGCTGGCTTTCCCTTTCTGTGCCATCCTGCCAAAGAAGCTAAGCCAAGTTTCCTACCAAGAAAACCCCTCGCTTACCATCTCCCCTACTTCTTGCTTCTGTGTCATTTATGGGGCACATGGAGAAGAGAGGCCACCCATCTCATTCTCCTCTAGTCCTTGATTTTCAATATGTGGCAAAAATAGTGATGCTATCCAAGCCACATAACTACCTGTCATAGGAGTGTAAGGCACATCTCTTGGCTTGAGCTAAACAACTGGAGTGATCTTGGCATCAGCAGTAAGCCTGCTTTTTCTTGTTGCTCCTATTTTTTTCTCTCTCACACTGACAGATGTGTTTTTTTGTTTGTTTGTTTGTTTTTAAAGCATTGTAGGGCAAAGAATTCACAGGTAGGATTTTTTCTTTGTGCAGCAGTTGGGCAGAGGTGTCAGGGCAAGTAGAGAGGTATCAGGTACAGAGAGGCTTGCACTGGTTCATAAAAGAGGAATAACACTGGACAGAACCTTCAATAATAGCATGATAACACGCAGAACTATTTTTCATAAAATGTTTCTTATAATTTCAGTAAGAGATAAGGCATAGTAAAAGACAGCTTGGAGAGGATAATTCTGTAAGAGTCAAAGCTAAAAGATTGAAATGTGTGATGCATGGGATCCCAGGACTAGAGGAGAAGGTAGAGAGCTTTGTTCCCCAGAGCATTCACTCATTTATTAATTGTCTTCCATGAGCTGATTTTTTGAGAGAAATAATTGGATTACAGCAATTTGGGATGTGCTTTCTGATCAGGGCCTCAAAGGATGATTGAGGGGCATTTCTAGGCTTTGAAAAACAGATGTATGAGAAAATATTTAGGTGGATTTTTTAAAAATGAAAATAAATAACTAATGTTTTTATGTAGATGAAAGATTACCCACTTAACATCAGTGTAAAAAGCAACCGAAATAGTTAACTGAAACAAAGTAGACCTATAGCTTCTTTTTCTGACCTGTTGTCTTTACTTTTCACATAAACCGTCATAAAGATGATATTACATATGTTTGCCACTTTTTTCATTAACTTTACAGATATTTTTAAGAGATGTGAAAAAGCTCACTAATGAAAAAGTAACTAATCGAAAGATTTTTCCAGGAATTCATAGAGGGAGATAGGCTGCTTATATACTAGCAGAGAGATGAAACTTAGCAGAACTAGTGACTAGAACCTTCTCTGCACAGGTATGTGACTTATTCATTTATAGTCATTGTATACTTTATGATGTCAGCAAAAGCACCTGTGCATCCTTATTCTCAAGGAAGCCTCTGTCAGCGATGGTAGAAAAGCCTTCACTGGGTTTGAGGAAACAGCTCTCCTGGGGGAGAACCATCTCAGAATAAACCAGCTTTGTACTTCTCTTAACAATTAAGACAAGAATTCAGAAATGAGTCCTCTGATCAGGGTAGGATGATGATAAGATGCAAATCATAATCCAAAAGTTGCTTGGAGTTCATTGTACTCTTAGGACCATACTACTTCCTCAAATTCTTTTTATGACAGCTCATTAGGTGAGGCCATTATTTAAAAGCCTGATAGAGACTTTAAACAGAATGGAAACTTAGCAGCTATGCCTTTTTCTTTGTTATGATATGGAAAGATTCCATTGGAAAAGGCATTCTGGTAAGTACAGCAAAGGCTGTTTCCAAAAGAACAAGAAATCCCATTTATAAGTATGTAGTACCTATAGTGATTGTTGAACTAGGTATCAGCTTTAAAAAGAAGTTCAGACTGTATAATACACAAAGCATTACATATTTGATGAATTCTAGTAAGTGGAGAACAGGATTCATTTATATGTCATTATTGTATTTTCCAGAAATTGTGCATCTTTGACAGTTTTGGAACCCTAGTCTTTGCAGTGTTTATGGGAGTATGGGGTAAGTTCTTTTCAATTTTTTTTTTTCAGTTTACTTTTGCATCTTAACTTAAAAAAAAAAAAAAGAAAGAAACCCTAAGATCACACAAGCACCCAATTTAACAGAATTATACAAGTTTTATCCAGGCTATCAAAGTAACCCACTTTTAATGCTCAGATTGCCCAAGTTTCAGCTCCCCTAGAATCCACTTATAACTTTTAAGGCCATTGTGTCAGTTACTTCATAAGAGACTGCCTCAAAATCTAATGGCTTAAAACACATTTATTATTCTCCTGAATCTCTGAGTCAGCTGGGAGGTTCTTCCGGCATGGGCTGGCTCAGCTCATCTCTCCTTTGAGCTGGCAGCTCCACTGGTGTA